TCCTCCAATGCCTCACCGCCCATACCTTGTGCAGCTGCAAGTGTGTTTGTCTCTCCTAGAACCGCCTCATCTCCAAATCCGAGTACCGTAAGGAGCTGCCCCAGATTGTCGTCGGATTCTTCTATTGCAGCTGGAAAGGCAAACGCAAGTTCATCAGCATCAACGGTGAATACTCCTCATTGACCTTCTTGCCCTTCCCCATTGAGGATGTTGTGATCTCAGATTGCTGTCGCGGGCTCATCCTATGCTGGTGCGTTGGGTTTTGCTATGTTGTCTACAATCCGGTGACTAACAAATGGTGGTTATTACCGGATAACAAGCGTTCTTTTGGTTTGGCTCGCTTGGGGTTCGATCCGACAGTCTCCTCGCACTTCCATGTTGTTGAATATGGGAAGAAGAGGGCGGGTGAGTTTGTAGGTGTGAGCATCTACTCATCTAAGAGTGCAACATGGATGTTTAAGGAATCTGAATGGGGCGAGGGTGTTGTATGCACATATTCGACAAGTGTGTTCCTTAATGGTTCTATGCACTGGCTGGAGTTGTCCTAGATAGTTGCTGTTGATATGCTGAGAAACACATGGAGGAAAATTCGTAGGCCACGTGGTGAAGCAATCTCCATCCATGAAGCTCAGGGTCAGTTGTGTTTATGTACTGCTAGTATGTTCAGAATGTATCAGCTTTCATTCTGGATCCTAGAAGACTATGGTACTGATAACTAGACACTGAAGCATACGGTGACCATGCTGGAGATATTTGGATGGGACAATATTCAATTTGGTTATGATGTTTGTGATGCGCACTATAGAGTAATTGCAGTTCACCTAGAATGGAATTTGATTTTCCTTGTTGGCGAAGACAAAAAACTGATCGCATATGACATGAATCTCAGAAAAGTTTTTGTCCTCCCTGCCCAGGTCATGCGGTATCATAGACCTACCTGAAGGCTACGTCCAGAGGGACCTCACTATCTTTCTTATGTTCCCTTGTTCATGGAGTCAGTAGGAGAGCAGTAAAGTTGCATATGCTGTTCTTTCTTCAGGTAGGGAGTTATTTTGATTCTACATATAGTCCCATTTTGCCTTGGTAACTAAAGCAATTGTATGTTGAATATTATTAATGCTGCTGCTTTGTGCAGATTGTGAAGTCTAAGTGCTTTTGAATGATTTTCCTGCAATGGCTAAGGGAGGAAGAAGAGGGGTTCTATGGTGCACTGGCTACAAAGCTCAAGGAAGCTTTGCCTTGCAAGCAGGAGTGCTAATATGAAGGAGCGGAGCACATCTACCTTGTTTTCATTATGTAAGTCTGTAGGGAGCAGAACCTTTATTCTCCTATCTATGTACCGCTTGTGTTAATTCTTGAGTTGACGCAGTTGTTATGTTAGTGTCACTTCTTATTATAAAAAGTACTCTTTGTTGTGGACATGATGAATGATGTGCAATGATTATATATGTATGATGTGTGTTCAGTAAGTTATTAAGGCCCATTTGAATTAGTAATTAAATTATAAAAACCGATGCAATTCTGTCATCGTCGGATGTAAGGGCCGTTGTCTGTTTTGTCATCACCGCCAGTAACACTTTCGCCACAGTGGTGAAGCGGACGCCAACACCACCGCTATTCGTCTCATGCGGCAGGGGTCAATAGTGTATCACCGCTGAATCATACTGTAATGCGACAGTGACTATTACCGATGACTAGACGGTTCATACGCTGAAGTGACGGTGATGTCCACCTCGACATAGACACGTCGGTTGCCAAAGCGACGGTGAACACGCACTGCACACAATCGGGTCGTTGTGCAAGGCGACTGTGATCCTGATCATTGGTCAAAACGACGGCGTTAGTGTACACCCACACAGGCGGGTCGTTGTACAACATGACGAAAACAACGGCCTAATCACAGACGGATCATAAGCCAACACGACGGTGTTAGTGTACACCAACACAGGCGGATCGTGCTCCAATGCGATGGAAACAACGACCTAGTCACAGACAGATTATAAGCCAACACGGCGGTGTTAGTGTATACCAACACAGTCGGATCGTGCTCCAATGCGACGGAACTAAGGACCTTATCACGGACGGATCATAAGCCAATACAGCGGTGTGACTGTACACCGTAGACGGTCTTAGATAGAGACGGTGATGACTACGACTATCATTGCTGATAGTTTACTGTCAAGACCAAAATTAAACTATGATAGAGGTTATGATGTGGCCGTAAAAAGTACTGAGTGCAGTAGTGATGAGGTTCCTGAGCTCATCTGAAATGGTTAAATCTTTATAACCTATACAGATGGAACCTACTATAAATCATTAACTCTTATTTGTCTACTGCCACGTTGCTCCACGTTACTCAAGTTCTTATCTCCGTCAGATCATCTTGTTCCTTCCATCCATATGGCAAAAGAATTGAATAGTCAGTGAGAGTATGTTCATCATCCTCTCACTAACCAATAATTGCTATTTCTATGGTGCACGACGTGACCTCTTTGACTTCCTCACCTATCACTTGACGTCTCACTCTAACCTAGCTAGTCTCCTTTCGTAGGATCCTTTCCAATTCCACTACTATATATATATATGGAACATGTAATGATCTTTGTTAATTAATTTCCATCCTAATCACATTCATAAAACCATCACCATTCCTCTCCACTTCCTCTACTTTTTTTTTTTTGGTAACCGCACTTCCTCGCTGATGCAGGGGCATTGTGCCTTTTCGTTCCTACCATAATACGCTAGTTCTTCTCTCTCTGTATATATATACATGCATAATCTATCCTATATTCTATCCACTTCTAATCCTGTGTACCAAAAAAAAAACTCACAAAAATACTGTTATCGACAGTTCCTCGACTCAGAACACTGTTAAACCCCTCCCACAAAAATACTGTTGATCAACAGTTCCCCCTGATTCAGAACACTGTTCCACACAGCAGTGTCCAGCCAGCGTCGTATCGGCACCCGGGCATCGGCTGCCGTCCACGTCGCTACCCTCGCTCTCTCCCGAACCTTCTCGCTAGCACCGGCGCTGCCCGTCCTCCTCACACCGCTGCGCCTTCTCCCGTGGGGGGTTTTTATATTTTTATCATTATTAAGATTACCGCTCATCCGATTATCACTCTTACAATGTCACTTGCATTTTTACCAGATGAAAAAAGTTTGGGTTTCTATTTTACCACATTTGCGCATGTGGCAAGCCACGCCACCGACATCACTGGTGCCCAACAAGATGGACACGTGAAATGTCCTTGCTACCCCCCTCGCTCTCTCTCTCCATCTCCGACAGCCAGTCCCGCAAAGACATGTCACCGCCAGTGGGTCCCACTCGTCGCCTTCGTCTTCCAGACGATCGCGGCGTGATAATGCCGCCAGTGGAGGCAATACATGGGCTCCTCCGGCGATGCTAGATCCATGGCCAAGCATAGCGACGCTTGGCCGAGCCAAGGTACGGGCGAGGACCTCGGCAGCAAGGTCGGCGTCGGCGTCGGCGCATGCGTAACAGAAGGCTCGGAAGAAAGGCTTGGCATGGGACAAGCGGGGCGTCAATGCACAAGCACACCTGTGCGGGCGTGGGGCGGGAGGCGACAGTGCGCCGAGGTCGGCCTTTGCCTACAAATCGAGGCTCCCGGTCGGCGCCAAGCCGCCTCAAAAATCCTAGCCGCCCATAGCCCTAGCGCCCCCTAGCTCCCGCGACGCAGCTGCCGTCCGCGCAGAGATCCGCCACGGGCGATCTCTGCAGATGGGTCGCGATCCACGCCGACGAGAACCGCCCACGATCTCCGCAGACCGAGGTGAGGAAGCCTCCCAGACGCTCTCGTCCTCCTCTCTCTCTCTCTCTTCTATGCGCGATAGCTCGCTGGCCGCTGCCTTTACCCGAGCCGCCACCGCGCATCGTTCGTCGTCTCCGGCCGCCGTTCGTCGGCGAGATCCACCCAATGGAGTTCGACGTGTCGAGCTCGCGCTACTGCCACCCGCGATGCCTCGCCGAGCCCCCCTAGCGCTGCAAGGCGCCGTCTTCCTTCCGACGATGTTCGCCAGCGCCTTAAGCCGCCACCACCGTGAGCAAAGGAGCTGGTCGCCATCGCCGCTAAGCCGTGAGAGCCGAGCCTCGTCGCCGCCATGGGCGAAACCCTCACAGTAGCGTCGCCGCTAAGCGTCGCCGTTTGGCCGGCCGGGAGCCCCCTGTCCGGCCTTCTCCTCCCCACGCCGAGGCCCCTTCCTCTGCGTGAACGATGCAACCATGGCCATGGGCGGGGAGATGTGGGGCCCACCGGCAAAGCGATGACATGTCTTTGCGGGACTGACCGTCGGAGATGGAGAGTGAGGAGCAGGGCAGGGGTAGCAAGGACATTTCACGTGCCTATGCTGACTGGGTACCAGCATGTCGGGCTGGCGTGGCTTGCCACATGCGCAAATGTGGTAAAATAGAAACTCAAACTTCTTTCATATGGTAAAAATGTAATTATCGTTCTAAGAGTGTTAATCGGATGAGCGGTAATTTTAATAATGGTAAAAATGTAAAAGCCCCCCTCCCGCGCTGCCCTGCCGTCGTGTGACGGCACATCGGCGCGGCCGGCCCCCGCCGTGGAACAGCGACGCGCCCACCCCGGCGTGGCAGCCTGGGGCGCTGGCCGCTGCCGCACCACGTCTCCACACCTTCCCCTCCGATGCCGTCCACACGTTCAACCTTCTGGAACCAACGATGCGGCATCCCGTCCTCGGCAAACCACGCCACCCTTATCCCTTCCGCCTCCTCTCCCAGACGGCGGTGGCCGCCCCCCGGCCTAGCGCGGCGGCGCACCCGCGCGGGCGGGCCCAACACGGGTCGCGGGCGACGGTGCCCCCCTCCCCCGCGGCTGGCGCGCAACGGAGCGGCGGCTCCAGCGCAGGCGCCATGCTTTTCCCCTCCCCCGTCTGCAGCGCACGCAGCTGCGGTGCGGCGCTCCTGACGACCTCGCTTGCCTCCCGCAGGGCCACGCTGTCGCCCCAGGCCGCTACAGCCGCGGGCCACCCGTCGCGCCCCAGGCCCCATCCCCGACGGTGCCTGCTCCGCTGCCGTCGTCCCTTGCCCCAGTACGGGCGACGCCGGCCGCCCCGTCGGCCCTGCGTGGTCGCCTCTTCATCTGCCCTGTCTGCGGCTCCGCTCGGCACCTCGCCCTGCCCGTGGCGCGTCGCCTCTTCCTCTCCGTTGCGGCCGGATCTGGTGAGACCTCACCCTCTGCTCCTCTATTCCATGACTGCTCCACCAGGTCCTGCATCCCTCCGTGTTCTCCTTCGTGCAGGTGACTGGCTGATGCGGCAGCGTGCGCTACCTCGCCCTCTACAGGTAATAACCCTGCTTTTTGTTATTAAGCTAACGATGACCGTGTAATGGCATAGCTATTTCGAGATTAAGATGCATATTTTACTGAATCAAGAAGGTAGATCTTTCCATCTAAGGTATATACACTGACTATAGTACATAGCATTTCTTTTTTTGTTTCTTAAAGAGAATTATTCCAGTTATTTTTTTCTTAAAGTGCTTTCAAACTGATTAGGGCAATCACATTTAAGCCATAAACTATTCTTGAAGTGATTTCAAACTGATTAGGATCCTTCCATCTACATTCTCAGCACTACGTGTAATGGCTATATTCCTTGCAGAAAACCTTTTTCTTTGTTAGTACATGTACATAAAGTTTTCTTCCATTTTTTAAGGTTGTTACATTCAGAGATGCTGCAGTTCTTTTGCTGCATTATGTTCATGGAATCCGAGCACAAGGTTATAAGTTGGAGTACAGCTATTTCGAAATTAAGATACATGTTTGACTGAATGGAGAGGTACATCCCGAAGATACGTAATAGCATGGGAGATATCAATAGCAATTTCCAAATCAGTTAAAATTCCAATATTTTACCATTTATACTTGCATATACCTATCCTCATGTAATATACAGTTAGTATTGTATTCTTTGTTGAATACCTATTCCTTTGTTAGTACATCCATATCTAAAGTGTTCTTCCATTTTCTTAGGCTCATATATTTACAGTTGTTGCAATTCTTATGCTGAATTTTGATGATTAGATTCGAGCACACCATGTTAAGTTGGACCACCTCAATATTGAGTGTGGTTTGGGAAGTGTCCCACCTGCTTGCGAACTCCGCTGGATGGGTCTTCGCTCTTGGCCTCCAGACTTTGATTGATTGCAGAAGCAAAAGAATTCAGAAAATACTTCTGAAGTAATACATGTATCTAGGTATGGCCTTCTAAACTTCGGTCAATGGTCGAAATTAAACATTCTATATTGTCTATCCTGTCGTTTTTCTCCAAATGATTATTTTGGCTTATGTGCTTTGGTTTCGCTGAAATGCATGTCTGAATTGATTACCTACACCTCTCTATATTAGATGCATTTTGCCATAGTCTTCAGTATACCTTCCAATCTAAGTACTTCTTTGATGCTGTTGCTCCCTTCTTCCTCCTGTTGCAAGCTATCACTGCCGCCTTCCTCCTCCTTTTGCAGCGACATTTGTATCATCCATATGTTGACATTTGATGAAAAGCTACTTTCTAGAGCATATGATTCTGAAAAGGAAATATCACTTGGGAGTGATGATGAATTCATTATAGTAGATTGCAGGTTCGGTTGTTTGTTTTCGAATAGTTTTGAGTCAAGATGTGAATATCTCCGTAGTTAGCATGTTTGGTGCATGTCTTCAATCCCCTTCGCATGTCTGTTTTGTTTTAAAGCAAGCATTTCAACTGCAGTACTTGACTTTCTGGCTACTAGAAAGTCCTAATAGTTGTATATTTGGAATAGGTGTTTCCATGAAGCAGACATGGTACTTAGTGAAATTTTGAGATCCAGGTCATTATTTATCTCATCCATATATTGAGATTTCATGAAAAGCTACTTTCTACATCACATGTTTCTGAAAGGGAAATATCACCTGGGAGTGATGATAAATATCATAAGGATTCAACGTTTCAAACTGCTGAATTTAGTGGAGAGACCTGTCAAGGTGGACAACGACAGCCGTGTTCGACCACACAAGCACTGAAGGAGAGTTAGAAAAAAAAAAAAAAAAAAGACGCAGCGGTCTTTACTGCTGCTGTGCTAAAACATATATGTTTTTGAATGCTGTATGGGTTAATGCCACTTATTAGGTGTGCACTTTTTCTTCACTATATGAGCTTCTGAACGGCCTGTGTGGTCGGGATTCTTCTTTTTAATTTGCTTGCTCATTTATCGAAGTCTCGCTGGCTACATGTACTCCCGTTTTGGTACACGGGCACGTAAATGCGGTAACAATTGCAGTTCTCAGCTCGCCCTGCGCATTGCGCGGGGGGACTGCCTAGTGCTCTGAGCTTATGCTTCTTCTTCATGCTGGTTTCTGAATTCTGAAATGACTGATGCTCAACAATTTTGGTTGATGTCCATCCTATATTTCTAATCTATAATTCTTATAAAGCAAAACCTCACTGGCAATTCTCTTGACATGTAAAGTGCCCACCTCAGCAGTCCACTATCATTTGCAATTAAAGTTCACTAGCATAAGCAATTATGATATCCACGTCAGCGAGACACATCATTCACTAACATATATTTAGTTGTCCACATTACGCTATCCACTAATATTAGTTTATAATAGTTAATCTCTTCCTAAAAATTATATAAATAGTTAAATTCCATTCCAAATCAGTTGTTCCCGTAGCAACGTGCGGGGTGTTTTTCTAGTATTATAGGCTCCGTTTGGCTTGCTAAAACTTGACTGAATTAGCTGAAAAGCATTGTTCTGGCTGAATTGGTGTGAGAGAAAGACACTGTTTCGGCTGAAAAAATAAGCTGAATAGTGCGGATTATAAGGTAAGCCAAACGAGGCCATAGTGTTTTAAAATTTTCGGTATAAGTTTTGGAGCATTGTCTTGTGCAGCAAATAGATGTCATAAGGCAATTTAGGTTTGTTAGTGAGGTTTCGTTTATTTGATATCCTTCGTACTGTGAGCACTTTTCAGAATATGACGGATATGCCAATTATGAGGTAACGTCTATAGGTCACCTGATTTAAAGTATTATTGCTATGAGTTATATTGTGCAAACTATAGATAATATATTTCGCACGTCCTACCCATATTTTCTTAGAAAATTTGCACTTCATATTTGTATGATTAAGGCCCTGTTTGGTAGGTGTTGACGTTAGATTGTGACCTAAGCAAACACGCAGCAAACAACTCCAAGAACGACTAAACCGATATAGAGAATGGTTAGACCAATCTAGAGCTCGTTCAACGCCGCAAAAGCCTGGGAACACCTCCCGGGATGACCCGTCGGGGAGAAACACGCCTAGGGTTGTTCTAGGACCAACAATGCCGCCTAGAACGCCAATGAATCTCGCAAAGAGATGCAACGAACTGCAAGAGGGTTGGAAAAGGGTAAAATTAGGTAGTAGATCTATTTTTTGACGATTGAGTGTTGGATCCTTCAATCGGCCGTGATCCTCTCGTATATATAGAGGGGGATGATCTTATCCTAATAGGAAACATCTTCAGATCGTGATCTCCAAGTTCACTATGCGAAAACACGTCCAAAAATCAATTTGAAAAGTGTTTGGTTTGGACTTATACAAGCAAACTGGCCTAGCCGGTTCCCGAACCAGCCTAGCTGGTTTTTGCAGGGCTGCGCAGCCCTATAGCGAGGCAAACCGTCCTGGCCAGTTCTAGAACTGGACTGGTTGGCTCTATTGCAGCCAAACGGTCTGGCCAGTTCTGTCGTGCGTCCAGGGCAGAACGGCTTTCGAAAATCACAATTAATTCGTCCGGACTCCAAATGGGGCAAACTATATATGTTTTTCCATCAGCTCGTCGAGAAATGCAGTGGTGCAGTCAAATCTTGCATTTGAAGAACTTGCGCAAACCGGCCTGGCTGGTTTATGAACCAGCCTAGCCAGTTCGGCTGGGCCAGCACTCCCGAATTGTTGTTTCTTTGTCCGGGCTCTAAATAAGTTGTCTGACCATCTCGATGAAAGAAACATGATGGTGGAGTCCATTATAAACTTTGATTACTTTTGGTTGTCAATAGTATGGCTCTTCTCTGGCTGTGGCTCTGTCTCCTGCAGAGGAGCCCTATCAATTTAGTATGAGCTATTTTTACTTGAAAAAAGAGAAACCCTACCAAACAAGGTTTAAACCATTTGTCTTCTATAAGATGCCACTTCCTAAACTCTTGTAGCAATGTGCAAGGTATTCACCAAGTTAATATAGTATAATGCTGGCTTTTCAAGAAAAATAACTCGTGGCTGTGCCAGCATGGAACATGGAAATAGGTGGCAGTGATGACCAAAATCATCAATGATGGACGGAAATAAGTGGCTGGGGAAGAGCGTGGCATCAACACGAGTCATGAATAGGAGGTTGCCGACTCAACTTCTTTTTTTCATGCCATGAATAGGAAACTTCATAGTAAATTGACAGCCAAAGTTTTTTGGACTTAGCTATGGCCTATAGAGTCACACAATCCAAATTGTATATGTTAGCCTATCTGGTATAGCTCTACTTTATTAGTGGAGTAGCTTTTTTTGCTGTAGCTGTGCAGAGATCCATTGACGAAGCTAAAGCTGTTTTATAAAAATATTTTGTAAAATAGCTTGTTCTGATGGTTGAAAATAGTAAAATATCTATAATACATTTTTATTATTTTTTATTTTTTTTACTTTTCTCCTCTTCTCTCTCACCGTGAGATCCACGTCCATCGCAACGAAAGCGGCTCCAGTGGCCATCTCACACGATGGCAGGTTCACGTAGCGACGGCCGCGGCTTCTAGCAAAGGGGAGTGACAACACAGGCTCCCTCCACCCACATCGTCTGGGGCGCCTCTCCCTCCCAATGCGGAGAGATCGAACAAGAGGGGCCTAGGAGCATAAGAAGTTTCATCTTCTCCCCGTCTACAGTAGATAAGAGCGACTTCGAGGCGATTCACCGGCCAGCGTCGAATTCGCTGGGTCCTCTCCGTCTCCGGTGGTCTTGTCTCCGCCGGAGGGTGGGGGGACCGGCGGATTCGGCGGCCAGTGTATATATCCTACTATATTAGGCTTCATCTAATTAGGTTAGGGTTAGGTTTATCCATGCTGTTGGTGTGGCGTGGATCCTCCTTCCTCTGTTGCTGCGTCTCCGGCGAGCGACGTCTTGGATGCGAGGTTGAAGCTGTGGAGCCGAGCTTCGGTGACACCTTCTCCGAAATCCTCGACGGCTTCCCTGACTTGGCGGGTGACGACAACAT